ATGTAAAAAGCCAGGGGCTATGTCTGCACATTTAAAGGAAGAATGATTTTCCTGATAGAATGAGATAAGAGATTTCTGTAAACACAGATTTCTGCCCAGACTAGAGTCTATCTTCAGTTGGTGTCTTGTCCTCCAGATGCTACTTCTTATATTTCACTCATTGCTAGTAGAAACTTGTGAAAGGTCCCAATTACTGGGATGAATTTGGCGTGAGATAGCAACTTGCTTTTAATTAGGGAGGAAGTGGCCTTAGGGATAATTTGAATGACTGAGAGGCTAAGGAGCCCTACCTGAGAGAAAGCTTAGTCATCAGTGAGTCCAGGGAGTTAAATCCCAGCAATTGCCTTGTTAGCTACAGAGGGAGATAAATGGCCAGATATAGTAATGTCATCCTAAATCCTCAATCTAAGTGATGAACTTTTTGGTTGCCTCATTTACGTGGTCGTGAAGGAATACATTTAAATATCTGATTTCAGTGTTAAAAGCTTGGGCTTTATTTTTTTGGTATCATCAAATAATGGACTTGGCTCAGCTAATTTCCATTTATAAGGCCATTTTTTTGCATCACCATGTGAACTACCTGCTTTGATTTTCTTTTAAGAAATTTTCCTAGCAGGTAAGAATGCTGAACTCTGTTTGCACAGTAAACACTTATATTCTATTTTAGTGTCTCTTAAGTTCTAGACATCCATGTGGGATACATCCATACTTGAAAGACTGGGGTCATGGGAGCTTGTGTGGCAGTGTGGAGAGGGAGTCCTTGGGGCTGTTGCTAGACCCACTGATCAAGTGCACATTTCATATTCTGCGGTCACTTCTGGATACACAAGATCTCACTGCAGTCACCCTCGGTGAGTGAGTGAGTGCTACTTTAAAGACCAAGGGAAAAACCCAGGAGGTAAGTGCTCGAAACAACTGACACAGTATACTTGTTGAACATTCATGTGATACATTCAAATAATAGCTGGTGTCTTAAATATCAAATCTTTTCATTAGAGGAAGTCTGAATTGAGAAACTTAAGTTATCCAAATGAAAAAATTAACCAGAGTACACACAATGGATTTGGTTTTAGTATTATAACCTAACAGATGCTTATTGTCCACTTTGCAAAATAACAAAGGGAAACATAATGCTTTACAAATAAACTGATGGGTTTATAATGTTGGTTCATGGCTTATTATTTTTATATGATATGCTAATGTTATATTACTTTTCAACATTTGAATTAGAGAATTTTAAATTGTATATCAAATGTAATAAAATATAAGGGACTAAAATGCTGGTTCTGTTCTGGAAGTTTGATTTGTGGGATTTCATATGTGAGTCTTTTAGAATTATCACAGCAACCATGTTTGTATATATTCATGATGAAAATCCATGCTCAGGCAAGTATCAGATTTAATGTATTTAAAGAGATAAAACTCTAATTATAAAGTATGCTAATGGATATTTTTACTATGGTGAGTTTGTAATTTAATCTTTAAAAAGACATTCTTTTTAATATTTTATTTTATATAATTCTTACATCATTTTCCACTTTTGCACAATGTATGCATTTTCATTTTGGTTATATTCCCCATACAATTGCACTCCCCTTATTTTGACCCTAATCCTTCCTCTCTGCCCACCCTCCCCACCCCCGTAGTGTGTCCCTCATTTATAGTTGCTTGTTGATTGAAAGCTGTGTGGAGATTCCTCAACCTACTAAAGAGAGAGCTTCCATATGATCCAGCAATTCCACTCCTAAGTATTTACCCAAATGACACAGAAATGTTAATTCAAAAGGGCACCTGCACCCCTATGTGTATAGCAGCACTATTTACAATAGCTAAGCTATGGAAACAACCCAAATGCCCAAAAATAGATGACTGGATCAAGAAGATGTGGTGTATATACACAATGGAATATTACTCAGCAATCAAAAAAGATAAACTCATGCAATTTGTAGCAGCATGGATGGAGCTGGAAGGATCATGCTCAGCTAAATAAGCCAGAAAGAAAAAGAAAAATACCGGATGGTCTCACTCTTAGCAGGAATTTGGAAAACCTAAATTAGGGGCCAGGAAAAAGACTAATTTTAAGACATTCTTAAGTGATGTTGATGATATTTTTAAATAAAGAAGTATTAAATTACTGGTTTCATAACCTAGTAACACTATCTTCCAGTTTCTACAGTGATGAAATCTGTGATGACATACTATATAGAATATTTTATATAGTCAAATTTTACTCTAGGTAATTTAAATGACTAAGATTTATTATGATGAACTCCCACATTGATGGTTTATGGGTATGGTCACTAGATCCCATAGAAAGTAAGAACTGAAAAAATCATATTTGGATATGGACTGCCTTATCCCCTTATGTTCTCTGCAGGTGTTTATCAATCTACTCTTTAAACAATGGTAGAGCTCCTGAATCAAATGGCATCAGAAATGTGAATGGGAAATGTAGAATATTGGTCACAACTGGCTTCTAGAGATTCTCAGCTTCTTCAGTGCATATCCTTCTCCCTGCCAAGTCTTTGTGAATGGAAAGATCTTGTCTACATTGAGGTTTAGTAATTCTGTAATTTTCCTGAGTAGTGAATTTCTGAGTGCCTGTGTGTGTACATAGAGTTGAGTGATTCTTTTCTCTTGTTTAATTTTCTAGGGTCTCTGAGGAAGAAATATTTTCCTTTTTTATTTTTATTGTTATGCTCTGTGTTTATTTTTTATGGCTTTTGAATGTTCCCAGAGTAACCCCTGGAAGCCTAGGTGATTGGACTTTTAGCATGAAAGGAAATCTTACAGAAGACTTTTAAAAGACTATTCACTTTATGATCACATTAATGTTCTCCTTACTTGCTATATTCATTTCTAAATATAATTTATCCTTTCTGATTTGATCCTTCTTTTCTTTAATTTCCTACTTTGTTCTGTTATTATTCTTCCTGCTTCTAGTAAAAATACATTCTATCTTACATAAATATTCCTACTCATCTATAATTAAATATACAATTCCCAAGACATAAATCTCTTATGATGCTCAAAAGTGGGTTCATGAGTTGTAGACATAGCATTCTTTTTATCCTGAATGATGTTTATGATTCTTATCAAATTGACAAATGTATAGATGGACTTTTTTTCCTGATGCAATGTTCATAGTAAATCCCTGAAGAACATTAATAGTAGCTGTCTTTGATTGAGCTCTTACCATGTATCTGGTAATGTTTCTAAGTAGTTTACTTATAATAAAAAAAAATACTAATTGGTAGGCTCTGTCTCTGTATTCTAAAAATGATGAATCTGAGGCTCAGGTTGGTTTATGGTGTTGCCAAGGTCACCAAGATAGTGGGTAGTGGAACTAGAATTCCAGCTGCAGCTCCAGAGTCCATTAATTTTTACTGTGCTGCTGTTTTCTCTTTAAAGAGGTTTTGGGTCTTCAAGATTCTCACTGAATGAGAAACTTGGTCTCCTTATCAAATCCCATTTGCCACTGACTAGAATTTTTTAAGTAATAGTGATACACTTGGAAATTTTGATTTAATTATAAAATATGAAAGACAAAAATGGTCAGCAGAATAGAATAAGGTAGTGCTGCAGTATGATTTCACAGGAGTTGGACTGGAAAGGATTCTGAGATCATGTGGTTTAATCCTTATATTTTCCAATGAGTATGTAAAATAGAATTAAATTTTGTAAATGAATCAATTCTCTGTCTTCTTATAATAGCTTGAATTTTTTCCCATGATATGATCCTTTTTAGAATCTGAGCACAGAAGTTCTATATTTGAGCACTTTCAGTATTGAAGAAACATAAAAATATGTTCCATTGCCCTCTGTCTCTATTTTCAGTGATTATTTCTGCTCCCTCACTATTTATCTGATTACAGTAGTTTTGAAAATAAATAAAAGGTGGTAATATAGTGGTTGTGAAAATCACTAGTCAGTTCATTTCAGTTCAGAATAACTAGCAGACATGTGTTAACAAAGGATATGGAAATTGAAAGGAGAGAATTAAAACTCCTTATAAAAGCTGCCAGAGTCAGACAAAGTAATTATTATAGGGAAAAATTTAGTATATAATTGTTTACTTATTTGATACAGTTCAAAGTTCAGTTTCTTGAAATTTATTAAGAGATTCTTAAAGGCTGATCATCTGTATGATATGCTGAGCATCAATTAGAGAATATCATAGTATTAAGTGAGTTATTCCAAAGGAGACATTGTTTTTGGTGCTATAAAGGTTATGTTGTAAAGGTATTTACCACACAGGCTATCAGTTCAGAGGACTGACTGCGAGTTTTTTAGAATGTGTCACTACCAGCAGAGAATATATTCCTGGAGACTGAGAATTTACTCTCTGCTCTTCACCATTGCTGATGTCTGTACCAAGAACTGACATAGCTTATATAAGGCTCTAATGAATACATGACTGACTGATTAGTCTTTGGTTACTCTATAGACGATCTACTGAGACTTAGGGACAGAACCTCTTACTTTTTTTGTTAAAGATTTATTTATCTATACAAGAGCTGGGGTACAGGCCAGAGGCATGGGAGGGTAAGAGGGTTCACCAAAGACAAAGTGGGGAGCAGAACAGGCAGATGGACTGAAAGCACTGCTGAAGGGAGCAGTGGGTGAGACAGGAGAGGTCTACCCCGCCATGTGGGTATCTCCCTGGCCAGCTGGGAATCGAACCCCTGCCGCAGAGATTGTGGACAGCTTCACAGTGCTGCCCTTGACTCGCTGCCACACCGGGGAGGCCCAGAACCTCTTTTAAGCCCAACACAGTCAGCTGAGGAGAAATAGACTGGCAAGGCAAGATGAATTGGTACCTTGGAAGGAGCTTAGTAGATATTTCCTATATGCTTATGTGTGTAAAAACAACTGGGGAAGATACAGTAATGGAGATGTGCTCCATAATACAATGGGCAATTCACAGCCTGTTCACCATTTCATTACAGGTTCCCTTCTCCAGAGCACTCATCCCTGAAACAGGCTTCCTGGAAAATTAAATGGGACATAGTAACAATGTCACAGAGTTTATCCTCCTGGGCCTCACTCAGGATCCTGGTGGGCAAAAAGCATTATTCGTCATGTTTTTACTCATCTATGTTGTAACAATGGTGGGCAACCTGCTCATTGTGGTGACTGTCTTTGCCAGCCCCTCACTGGGGTCCCCCATGTACTTCTTCCTTGCTTATCTGTCCCTCATGGATGCTGTTTATTCCACTGCTGTGTCACCCAAAATGATTACAGACTTGCTCCGAGATAAAAAGACAATTTCCTTCCCAGCTTGCATGGGCCAGCTATTTATAGAACACTTATTTGGCGGTGCTGAGGTCTTCCTTCTGGTGATGATGGCCTATGACCGCTATGTGGCCATATGTAAGCCCCTGCACTATTTGACAATCATGAATCGAAGGGTATGCATTGTGCTTCTTGCAGTGGCCTGGGTGGGAGGATTTCTGCACTCTGTGGTTCAACTTCTCTTTGTGTACAACCTCCCCTTCTGTGGCCCCAATGTCATTGACCACTTCATCTGTGACATGTACCCGTTATTGGAACTTGCCTGCACTGATACCTACTTTGTAGGCATCATTGTGGTTGCTGACGGTGGAGCCATCTGCATGGTCATCTTTACTCTACTCCTAATCTCCTACGGAGTCATCCTCAATTCCCTTAAAGGTCACAGTCAGGAAGGGCGACGCAAAGCCCTGTCCACTTGTGGTTCCCACATCACAGTGGTGGTTCTCTTTTTTGTTCCTTGTATTTTTATGTATGTTAGACCTGTTTCCACATTTCCCATCGATAAATCCATAACTGTGGTTTTTACTGTTATTACCCCCATGTTGAATCCTCTCATATACACCTTGAGAAATTCAGAGATGAAAAATGCTATGGAGAAACTTTGGTGTAAGAAGAAAACTACTGCTCGATAAGAGTGTGTCCCTCACACTGAGCAAATCTGTTACTAGTAATAAAGCAACAGTCAATAAAACTCTTAATAATGGTGATTTAGTCAATTCAGTGGATTCTCTAGAGATTTTTTTATGCAAATATCAAAAGAGCATAATAAGTTCTCCTTTAAGATTAGAATCAATATAACAGAGAATTTCAGAAGGATGTATAAACAGCATAGTATTTGTCCCATTACAAATAAAAATAAAACTATATTACCTTGTAACTTTATTTTTCTCAGTTTATATTGAAATGAATGTTTAGAAGAAACAGGCTTTTCAAAAGTAAAAGATGAACTCTCTTTGAATATTTATATTCACCCACATTAATATGAAGTAATTTGGCTAATAACTGAAATATATGTCTGAGACAATGCAGTTATTTTTAAAATTTAGTGTTCATTTTTTTCTATCAACAGAGCAGCTTTCAGTAGTTTCATTAGGTATTTTGCCTTTTAAAAATATTTTTCATTTTTTTAAATTGTATTTTTTTTTTTTTTTGGTTGAGGTAATAGGTGATGATGGTTTACAGGACTGTATGTATTTTAAGATTATAGAATAACACTTCTTCAGATGTATGTTACCTCATCATTGCTACCATCATAATCCTTCAGCAAAATCCATTAATTCCCTCCTTTTCTGTTTTTTCTCCACCCCCATCACCAACACCTCCTCTGGTAACCTTAATTCTACAGTCAGATTTCTAGAGTTTTCTTGATTTATTTTTGTCTGTTTTTTGGCTTCTTTATATTCCATGTGTGGTGAAAATCCTGTATTTGTGTTTCTCCTTATGACTTATTTTACTTAGCATAATCCCATCCAGGTTTTCACAAATGGCAGCACTTCTTTTTTTTTTTTTCTTTTTAATGACTGAGTAGTATTCCACTGAGTATGTATGCCATGCCTTCTTAATTCAGTTGTATATTGTTGGTCACTTAGGCTGTTCCCATAACTTGGTTTTTGTAAATAGTGCCACAATAAATGTAAGAGTTGATACATACCTTTAAATTAGTTTTTCCCCCTTTTTTGTATTCTTTTGATAGATACCTAAGAGTGGAATTGTTGATCATAAGGATTTGGCCCCTATGGGGCTATTGGTTCAGTCCCTATGGAAAACAATATATGGAAGTTTCTCAAAATGTTAAAAGAAAATCAATCATATAGTGCATTTTGCCTTTTAAAATACTTCTATTCCTAGTTATTTACCCAAAGGACACAGAAACATCAATTCCAAAGAGCACCTGCACCCTTATGTTTATAGCAGCACTGTTTACAATAGCTAAGCTTTGGAAACAACCCAAATGCCCCCAAATAGATGACTGGATCAAGAAGATGTGGTACATATACACCATGGACTATTACTCAGCATTCAAAAAAGATAAACACATGCAATTTGCAGTAACATGGATGGCGCTGGAAGGGATCATGCTTAGCGAAATAAGCCAGAAAGAAAAAGAAAAATAGCGGATGGTCTCACTCATAGCAGAAATCTAGAAAACTTAAATAAGGGACCAGGAAAAAGAATAACTATAAGAAAGAAAATATCAAAATCAACAAACAACTATGAACCAGAGACACTCTATGGGGGGCGGGGAGGGGAGGGATTGGGGTCAAAATAAGGGGGTCACAATTGTATGGGGAATATAAAAATAAAAAAAAATATATATAAAAAAATACTTCTATTCCTCACATCAGTGTTTGTGCACTTAAAAATTAGGATCTTTGAATGGGAGAGGGAACCTTGTTTAAAGATACTATCAATGTGCAGTTTGTTAGCTGGTATGTGACAATCTGATAATTGAAAATAGATTCTTATTCTTGATAGAAGATATGAAACCATACTAATTCAAGCTATGGGCATATTTTTATGTTTCCTTTCTAGTTGTTATGTGTATTTTTGCTATTTTTTAAAGATTTATTTATGCGTATATTACTTATGCATACAAGAGCTGGGTGTAGGTCAGAGATGCAGGGAGGGGCGGGGAGATGATTCACCAGAGTCAGAGGGGGGAGCAGAACAGGTGGATTGACTGAAATACACTGCTGAGGGGAGCAGCAGGCAAGACAGGAGAGGTCTGCTGTGCCATATAGGTTAGCTCCCTGGTGGGGATTGAACTCATGCTGCAGTGGCTTCTGATAGCTTCATGTTGCTGAGACATAATCCATTGCACCACCAGGGAGGCCCCATTTTTGTTGTTCTTCAGAGTAAATGCTGATTAATTTTGTTCCATATGGATAAAATAAGGTGCTGTAATATAGAAGCATAAGAAACATGTATATTTTGTAATGGTTACTTTTCTAACTAAAACAAGACTTTAGAACTTATATTTAAGGTATATTTTATGCATATCCATTAATATATGCAATCCATAAATTTATAGTTTCTTCTTCAGAATATTGTTAATATTGAAACCACTTGTATAAAACTCCCTGATACTATTCCTGTCTCTTCCCAGAGGTAATCCCAATGCTGATCTTTTTGCTATTCATAATTAAAAGAGGAACTACATATGCATGTATCCTTAAGGTATACATCCTGCTTAGAACTTCAGGTCTCTGACCTGAATCTGAATTTTATTTATAGTATATCTCCCTGAGATTTGATCATGTTGCTACATGTTTCTCTGGTTCTGAAATTTCCATAGCAATTTATTTTTTTATGTCTCAGTATACCTCAGATTATGTATCCATTCAGTCAATGGCCTTTTGGGCTTTTTCCCAGTTTTTGTAATTACGCCTAGTGCTACTATGGCCATCCTGAAAAAATATCTTTGTGTGGTAATTAGGGTATTTACATGTTCACTTTCACAGAAGTTACAGTTTTCTTCTACAGCCTTACTAAAACTTGATATTGTCAGATGTTTGATATTTTTTTCCAAATATGATGGTTATATGACTTCATTATAGGTTTATTTTGCAATTTTTACTACTATTGAAGTTAAGCATATTTTCATGTTTATTGGAGATTTACTTTTTCTACTTTCTATGAAATGCATGTTGATGTATTTTGCCTATTTTTCTAAGGTAGTTTTATGTTATTAATTTTTAGTTTTTTAGACACCTGTGTACAAATTCTTTTTTTTTTGTTATATTTATTGCAAAATTTTCTTTTTAGTGCTTCTCTCATTCAACGGAATTAGAGACTTTCAAATACAGTTTTTATGTGTATGGTTAACACTTCTGTGTCTTACTTAACTAATCATGTTCTACTACTTAATGGTTAGGAAAATATCAAGTAGTGCAAAGTTGAAGAAATTTGAAAAAATGGTGAATTATTCAGAATTGAAAACAGTGTTAAGTCTTTACTGCTAGACAAATGCCAGGTGACTTTACTGGCATGTGGAATATAGAGAAGTCAAACAAACGAACAGACAAAAGTAAATTGAAGCAAACTTTTGAAATTTAAGTGTAGAATTGAGGCTACTAGACTGGGAGGGAGAAGGTTGGGAGCAAAGAGGGAATGGGGACCACTAGGCAATGGTGAAAGATTATGGGTGCCTTGGTAGTAGGTGTGATTTGGTAATACATATCTGAAGAGATGTGAACCTATATCTATAATTCAAATACAGTGTGATAAACCAATATTACCTAATTAAAAAAAAATAAAAATAGCCGTAACAAAAGAAGGGTCACTTCACAGAGCTCATCATTGCCCAAATGATGGCCACTGTCAGAAAGTGCCAGAGGAATTAACACCCTGAGAGTCATTAAGTAGTGATCATAATCTTTTATGATTTTCATGCATTGATGGAAACTAATTGAGACCTAAAAGGCAAATTTTCTTGCTTGATGTCTTTTGTAGAAGTCAGATTTCTAAGGTCCATAATAAGGTGGAAAAGTTCAATTTGATCTGTAGGAGGAAGTAAGACACATCCAAAAATAGCCAGCCTTTATTGCTGCTGCTATTCATTTCTGACTTTTGGATAAGAAATAAAACTGTCACCAGCACAGGGAACATAAAAGATCTCTTCTGTTTTCCCTATCATCAACTAATTTCAACTCAGACATGCTCCTGCTTAAAATAATAAAAATATGAAGCTAAAATGCCATCCATATGAATTTGCAGGGGGACATTCACAAAGAAAAGCATAAGGAGCTAAAAAGGTGATTATATAAAATAAAATGTCTGCTTTGGTCTAAGATGCAAAATGTTGTCATGTGGGCAGTTAACAATCATTACTTTTCAACCACTGATTTTATATTCCTTTTACTTTATGCAAATTCTGTGGTTGGCAGAGCATTTTATGCAGTTGGATGATTCAAACTTTCATTACCATGGGAGTTAAATCTGTTACAGTTTTATTAGTTTGCTTCAGTTTCTCATAGAGTTTTACTTGGCATGGGGGTGGAAGGAGGGTTTAAACATAGCCTTCCGTGCTCTGTGTAGAGAAAACCAATTTCCATATGTTAATTAGGATGTCCGATTAGTACAGAGGTCTTTCTGTTTCATCATGGGGAATTCCCATAACCACGGGTCAGCTACCATTTAACATTTAATGGAAAAATAACTATTCATTGGTACCAGCTTTTTGCTGAGGGCACAAGGGATTCCAAACATACTCAGTTTTATGTGTAACAGATGTAAGGGTGATGAGGATCACTTTTAAGTGGTACATTTGAACATTAGATCTGTTTATTCTGATAATAGGGGGATGGTTTGATTCAGATATAGCTACTTCATGGTTTGTCTTTCTGTGTGAAGGAAACTAATGGGTGAAGTAAGGGGTAAAGGTTTAGCTGCTTTGTCTAAATGTGGAACTTCCTGACACCATGCCTGCTCAGAGCTTCCTGTGGTATTGACTGAACCTTTGCTGCAGCTGCCTTTCCTATCAATTTCTATCACTACCCTTTGTTTGTTGTTTTGCTAGAGGTATTATTCCTGAGGGTAGATGCCAATAAATCAGCATACAAATCTCTATATTAGAAACTATTTCTTTGGGAAATTCATTTTTGTAACAATTTACCTTTTGCAAGATTCCTCTGGGAGAGGTCATGAGTTAGATAGTGAGTCTCATTTTCTACTTCCTTCTTACCATGCTTTGTTTTACTTTGTATGGATTTTTGTTTTGTCTTCATTATGAAGTCCTGCAGTGAAGTTTCTATATGGAGATAATATGAGACTCAATAAGGATTTCTAGATCATGAGTACCCTTGTGTTTGTTGGTTTTATTATATTTATTTTTATAGCATAGTCATATTTCTTTTTAGTATGGAAAAATGATTGGTGTCTCTTTGGCTTCATCATTCTTTTTTGTTTTCTCAGGGCCTTCACTGACTATTTAGAGATTCTTACCTATATAGACATTCTTACCTCCTTATTTTATTACCACCTAACCTTTCACTGAGGGATCTGAGACCATTTACCAGGGTAATGGTCCTCTGGAAAAGTCATATTTAAATATTACTGGAGATTGCTGTAATGTATTCTAAACACATGCATTCCTGAGTGGCATATGCCACTGTGACCCATTTGTCAGAAAGGTGAGAGAATATTGTCCCAAGGTTATCTCAAGGGCTAGTTCCTCCAGGGTAAAGATAAACATCTTGATATTTAGAAAACCTGAATTCTTATTGTATTTCTGCCACCATCTAAATGTGCAATTTTGGGAATTTTTCTCATTTTCTGCATATGCAAAATAAAAAGAATGAATCAACAAACTATTCTTAGTGCTTGAGGTTTTTTTCATTTATAGATCAAATTATCCTTCATGTGCTTGAATTGTCAGAAAACTCTTAGTATAATATGAAATAGGATTATTATTATTCTGCTTAAATTGAAGCATGATCGAAAACTTTACAGAGATTTCTGATTGAGTGCTCTTAAATTAGACAGAGAACAATGTGGAACTGAAAAAGCAGAATCTGGCTTTTAGTTCTCCCATTTACTATTTATTCCATTCTATGGCAACAGAAATAAAATATTATAAACCTCAGCTTTTCTATCTATTAGTGGGGGATAATGTGGTAATTTTGTAGGGTTATTTGGAGACTACATAAGAAATTAGATTGCCGATAATATAATGGTATATGATATTTCCTTTTAACAGAGAATTTAGAGCAGATGAGAAATGGGTTAGACATACTGATGTGTTTTTAGCTAGCTTAAAAAAGTAAATAAATAAGTAGTAGTCATTATAAAATCTCCTGAGAAAAGAAATGGGAAATACTCAGAGGAAGAAGTTGACATATTTCAAATTCCCAATTGTTTTTTTAATTTTTTTTTAATGCTTCAATGAATCAGAGTGAGAACAGTCTTCTCTAAAGCTTTTTTTGAAAGATGAGTGTTAAAGAATCATGCTGACTACCTTGGTAAGTTTTTATGTGGGAGGTGATGTGGGGCCAAGGTCAAGATCAAGACTTGGGACCAGACAAACTTGAATGTTTATTCAGTTCTGCTTCCCATTAATATGTGCTGGGCTATGAGCTTTAATTTCCCCATATCTTTATATCCCTATCTGTAAATTAGAAAGAGGACCCTTTCAAGCATAATGTGTTTTGAGAAGTATTAAATGAGATAATCTATACAATATGCTTTGTAAATAGCGCAGATTTGTAAAACTCTTCATTGATTAAAGATACAAAGTAAATAGAGCAAAACTATATTTTCATAGTTTTATTGTTATTTGAAAGTCACATACAATAAACTAACATGCATTACTCTGAAGTAGTAAGCTCCATGGAAGTACCTAGCAAACCTAAAGCAGTCAATTAATATTAGTTTTTATCATTACCTAATATTAGTTTTAATAATTATAATGGCTAATTTTCACACAGAACTTTATACTTTCCCAAGTAATTCATATCTCCTAAGAGGAAAGTAAGCTTAATTTCCTCAGTCTTAAGTTCTCAAAACCTGTAATTTTTCTGAGACAGAAAAAATGGAAATAAGAGATATGAAAGTAATGTTGAAACATTTAACAAGGTATTAACTTTTCACAAGTGTCTTAAATGATAAAAATATGAAGATAAAATGAGAAAATACATTAGTTTCAACATTACCATAAAATATGAAAGTAGTTTTGCTCTATTTGTGTATTTTTTCAATGCTTAATTTTATGTTTTTCCAAGAATGTTTAAGGTTAATAATATAGTAAAAGAGATCATATATCTATAAGATTGAAAGAAATTGGAGAAATGTTTCTTTAATTACTAAGGTGTAAGAGATTCCTTATGTAAATCAACAGAAATGGCTTAGAGCTTTTGTACTAATTGATGTTGAGTAGATCCGTATAGAGTTTGGTTCTGAATGAGAAACTTTGCTGGGGATGTGTTCTTGGTTGTTCAGATGTGTTCTTGTGTAAGTGGTTAGTGTAGACAGCACTGTTGTTGGTGGAAGGTGTGGTTTCTGATATCACATTTCAAAACTAGCAAACCTAAGGACTTCTGTCTCTGCCTGCTTCTACTTCTGCTCCTCTAAGAGTGTCCTCCACACAGTAGCCAGAACCATCCATTTTCAATAAGTTAGAACAGGTGATTCTGCTGTGAAAAATCTTCCAATGGTTTTCCTCTTCTCTTAGAAGACAGTCATTCCCCTAGCAATGATCTACAATATCCTACAAAATCTGCCCTCAATCAATCCTATTCAATGTGCTTCATTTATGTCAGCTATTCCTGATATAAATTTATTTAGCAGCTATACAAGAGTGCAGATACTTTTTAAAGAAAAATTATTTAAGAGGAAAACTATTTTGTCATTTTTATTTACTTACAAAGGAAAAAATACCACCTTTCTTCATCCATGGAATCCTGACAAGACACAACATAATTAACATGCAAGATTAAAAATAGTTTGATTCTTACCAAGATACAGAGAGCTTAAGGGAATGTGAGATGCTAAAGTATCCAGGGCTAGGAATAGCTGGAGGGCATTACCATAATTATGCCTAAGAGAAAAGGGGAGGCAGTGATTATAGGAAACCAGAAGTTCTTTCCAAAGGGGTGCAGCCTCAGCTAGACACTGAATATTAGAGAAGCCATTGGAGGGAACCAGAAAATAAGTAACATGCCATCCTTTTTTAAAATTATTTGCCTTCTCACCTAAAGTTAATACTGCCTGTTATCCAGAAGGGAAGGGAAGCAGACCAGAGAAGTCGGCCCCCCTGGGAGGAGAGTAGGAGCATAAACCTGAAGGTGAGAAAGGGGTAGTTTACCTTTTAGCAGTTTATTCATTTTTTTCCAAGACAGACTGTAAGCTTCTTGTTTAGAATTATTTGGAAAAAAGACAACAGGAGTAATAAGAGCCATACCACTTATTTGTTGACCTAGTATGTATGAAAACTATGAGTCAGACCCTGCACCTTGTGCTGGGGATAAGAGGTAAATAAACAACATAGATACAACTGTGAGATACCTGAAGGGCTTTCGAATGGAAGAGGGTGATGACAGTGATACCGTAATTTCAGGTTTTCAGACCAAGTTTCCCATCCAGGAGGGGATCCCAAGCTGCAGGGGCAGCGCTGAGGCCCAGCCACTGGGCCTCCAGGGGTTGGTGTCTCATGAAGCCACAGCAGAACTTCAATGATGCTCAGGCAAGCAATCAAAAAAAAAGCAGATTGATTTAGAGAAAGAAAAAGTTTATTAAGGAGAAAAGGAACAGAAATACAGTGAGACTCCCAGGCTAGTGGAACCAGGCCAGGGAGGGGCAAGGAAGCCAAAGTGGAGTCATGCCTTAGGGAATATGGACCTTCTTTCCCTAATTATTCTAAAGCTCCACTAGTCTCTTTGTGATTGGCTAGTTCTCGGTGGTCTCACTCATTGCCTAAATGTCTCTGTGCCCAGAACTAAGTCTCAGTGTCCAAGTCCTTCCTTATCTTAGAGTCCTTTTCCTTTATTGTCCTTGTCCAGGAATGTCCTATTGCCCCTACTTCTGGGGAGTTTGATTAGTCCCCTTTGGATTTGTTGCCCTTATCTCTGGAGCCTTCCTTTAATGCTCCTGAAGTGCCTGCACTGCCCATGAAGCTGCATAATTATTCCTAACTTGCCCTAGTACTCAACAGTATTCCAAAACGTTCAGTGTGAATAACTAATACCGACTATAACAACAACTAATTTGTGTTTTTTAAATAAAAATTTATGATCTGTATCACCTAAAATTAAGAAATGAGAGAAGAGTGAATTAGACTTTATCTGTGTATAAACAGTATGGGCCAGACCATTAGTTGTGCAAATCTTTTTTTTAACATTTCAGGAAGAGTTTGTGACATTTCCTACTGGCTGAGATGCAATCTTTTTGTTAGCTGGTGAGCTCCCTATGTGGGTGTCTTCTAGCAAAGGGACACTCTCTGCCATTCAGAGGTATTAAAGAAAGATTTCAATATCAGAGAGCATCAAAGCTTACCCTGCTTATAAAAGGAACTAGTAGGACATTTCTTCTCCTCTTCATGCTATGAAAGAAAATTCCTTATATTTTCTCACACCCTGCCCAGGGTATACATCTGTAGAGATTTGAACCTATAGCCACCAAAGCAGATAGAGATGTAAACCTACTTTACCACAATAAACATAATTTGGGAAACAAAGAAAATAGTTTATATTATTAAAATGGTGTTTGACTTATCTGAAAACCTCGAATCAAAGTTCTCATCACCTTACTATTGAGGATATTGTCTTTACAGGTTAACTACCACTTCTAAATTCATCTGCATTGAAATAAAGAAGACAGGATGAATGTCACTGAATTCATTCTAATGGGACTTACACAGAATCCTCAGATGCAGAGAATTCTATTTGGAGTGCTGCTTATCACCTACTTTATCACCGTCACCAGCAACCTACTCATTGTGATCACTGTAATCTGCAGCCAGACATTGGACTCCCCAATGTATTTCTTCCTGGCCTTCTTGTCTTTGATAGATGCATCCTATTCCTCTTCCATAGTACCTAAAATGTTAGCTGACTTGTTCTCTAATTCAAAAGCTGTTTCCTTCAATGGCTGTATCACGCAGCTTTTTGTGGAACATTTTTTTGGTGCTTCAGAGATTGTCCTCCTTGTGGTCATGGCCTATGACCGCTATGTGGCCATCTGCAGACCTCTGCACTATGTCACCATCATGAACTTCCGTGTATGCTGTATCCTGGTACTGATGTGTTGGTCAGTGGGTTTTCTCCATTCTTTTGGACAAGTTGTACTTACTTTCTGGCTTCCATTTTGTGGCCCCAACATCATGGATCATTTCATGTGTGACATTTTCCACTTGATACAACTTGCCTGCACTGACACTTTCCTAGTTGGTCTCTTGGTTGCTGCCAATGGAGGGGTAATTGCTTTGATCACCTTTCTAATGCTATTGTTCTCCTATGTGGTCATCCTGTACTCTTTGAGGGGCCATAGCTCTGCAGGGAGGAAAAAGGCCCTCTCTACCTGTAGCTCCCACATCACAGTTGTTGTCTTGTTCTTTGTGCCTTGTATTTGTATGTATCTGCGACCGGTAGCTACCTTTCCTGTGGATAAAGCTTTAGCAGTATTCTACACTCTTGTTACTCCCATGTTAAATCCTATTATCTATACAGTGAGGAATACAGAGGTAAAAAATGCCATTAGGATGTTATTAAACAGGAATGCAATTTCAGATAAATGATTCCACATGAAGATTTTATTTCTATCATGAGCTCTATATTTTTTTTGTTTCATTGTTTTAAAGACCTTTCTATACTTTTCGTCTAGTACTTATAGCGCCTTGCAAGGTAGTTATTAATATGATTAATATTAACTAGTCATGAAGGAAAATGAAGTTGAAAAAGTTAATTCCTCAGCTGGATGTTAAAGACAGCTTGCATTCAGATCTGATTCTTATAAATACAGATTTGATGCTCTTTTGACCATTTCAAAGCATGTGAGAAAAGGCAGATTTATATTAGAACCTCTTGTTGTGTGGCAAATTGAAAAACTATCTTTTTAAATAGAGTTGTATAATGTACACACATTTATAAACAGCTGATACTCAAAAGGCTGCATTGCCTACTTGTACCTATGACTACGGAATTTAGGAAGAATATACTTATCTATGGCTTCTTGGAAAACAGTTGGTATATATCTAATGTTTACTTGTGAAAACAAGAGCTCTATTTAAACCTTTTTGAGATGTTTAAAATATCCTCAACTGGTCAAAATGACCTTATGAAACAAAAAATGTAGTGTTCTTATTTTTATAGAAAAAGTAGAGGTTATAAAGTTTAAGGAATTAGATCATATTATATATCAACTTTGAGCCGAAATACTCTTACTCTATATCTTATGATCTTTCATTATACAGAATTCCTTTGGTAATAGTATTTGCCTTTGGCTTATTATATAAAAAATATTTATTGAATACAAGACATAGAAAGTGATTTCTTTTTTTTTTAAAAGATTTATTTATTTATTTTATACAAGAACTGGGGTACAAGTCAAAAGTGCAGGAGCGTGAGAGAATTCACCAGAGCTGGCACGGGTAGCAGAACAGGCAGATGGACCAAAGACACTGCTGAGGGAAGCAGTGGGCGAGGCAGGAGAGGTCTGCCACACCATGTGGGGTTCTCCCTGGCTGGTGGGGATTCGAACCACTGCTGCAGAGGCTGCAGACAGCTTCACAGTGCGATGTTCAACCACTGCGCCACAGGGGGGCCCGAAAGTGATTTCTTTTTAATGCTTGAAGAATAAAACAATAGAAAAAGCAATAACAATACCCACCACCATCCCTTCTACTCCTTTCATCATTTCTCCTATCACCTTCTTCACATATGGTGAACTCAGTTCATTTATCTGTGTCCAATAATTTTTTATTTTGCTTTGTTAGTTCAACTACTTTGTTTCTTTATAATACCCATATATGTGAAATCATCTAATACATGTTTGTACTTGTCTGGCTAAGTTTATTTCCCCTTCCATTTTGCTGCAGAGGGCAAAGTCTCATCTTTCATAATAGCTGAATAGTATTCTATTTTGTATAAACACTATTTTCTTTATCCAACCAACAATCAGTGAGTATTTATGTTGTACTCATATCTTCGCTATTGCTATAATAAACAGTCCTGTTTATAGTTGATGGCTTCATGCTTTTTGGTTAGATACCCAGAAGTGGAAATGCTGGATCATATGGTATTTCTATTCTTAGTTTTTAAAAAAAGATCCTAACTGCTTTTCCAAATGGCTGTACCAATTTATATTCCCACCAACATTGTATAAGGGCTGATTTTCCACCACATTGTCTCCAACACTTGTGTGCCATTCTTAGAAGGATGGAAGGATATCTTACTGCATTTTCCTTATTAGAAGTGTTAATAAGCATTTTTTTCATATGCCTGTTGGTCATCTGTATATCCTCTTTACTAAAGTATCTATTCAATTTTTATGCCCATTTTTAAATTGCATTGTTTGGCTTTTTGTTGTTAAGTTGGGTGAGTTCTTTGTATTCCTTTGACATTAACAGCCTATGTGTTGCATGATGTGTAAATATCTTCTCCAGCTTGGTAGACCATCTTTTTAATTTGCTATTTTTTTTCATCATGTAAAGACTTTTAAATTTGATGTAGACCCAGTTATTTGTTTTCACTTTTATTTCCTTGTCTATAGGGGTCGAGTCTTTAAAAACATCTTTATTATTAATATCATGGGACCTGTCATCTATCATTTTTCTATATATTTTATGGTTTTGAATCTTATATCCAAATTTCTAATCCATTTTGAATTTATTTTATTTTTAATTTTTTAATGTATTTATGCATATAAAAGCTGGGTGTAGGTCAGAGGTGCAGGGGAGGGGGGTGAGAGGATTCACCACAGACAGAGGGGGGAGAAGAACGGTGGATCTACTAAAATACACTGCTGAGGGGAGCAGTGGGTGAGACATGAGAGGTCTGCTGTGCCATGTGTGTTAGTTTCCAGGCTGGGGATCAAACTCATGCTAAGGTGGCTGCTGATAGCTTCATAGTGCTGAGACTTAACCCCTTGCTCCACCAGGGAGGCCCTGGAATTTATTTTTATATATGTAGTTAGAGAATGATCTAGTTTTATTTTTTTCAAATGTGTCTGCCCAGCACCACTTGTTGAAGACATTTTCTTTTCTCTGCAGTCATAAGCTATGTGTCAATATATGTGTGGATTTATTTTTGGGCTTTTGATCTGTTTCATACATGCATGTATCTATTTTTATTATGCTATACTGTTTTAATTGCTGTGGCTTTGTTACATAGTTTAAAATTGGTAACATGATGCCTCCAGTTTTTTTTTCTTTTGTTTTTCAAGATGATTTTAGTTATTCAGGGTCCTTTATGGTTTCATATATATTTTAATTTTTTTGGTTCTAGTTTCTTGAAAGATATCATTGGAATTTTATGGACTTGCATTAAGTCTATATGTTACTTTGGTAAAGTGGTCATATTGACTATCTCAGTTGTTAAACCCTTTGTGTTTGGATTTGCATTTTGGAGATAGACTTTACTATTGTTTCCAGGAACTTCACTTTTGAAAAGAATATCACTATGGACAACCCTCACTGATTTAGATACAACTCTTCTCTTTTTTCTTCTTATATTACTCTAGTCTTAGGATCCTTGAGCAATATTTCTACCTTCCACTATAGTTAGTTAAGTAGAGGCTGTTGGACCATTTAATGAATAGTTGTGGATGGATTTCAGTCTTTTATAAGGTTGGACAAAATGAAATTGTAAGTTCATGCTTATTTTCTGATGTGATTGTGATTTTCATTCCATATTTGAAGGACAAGATCAAGACATTTTCTTAGATGATACCTTATCAAAATACATATTCATTGTGTTTGTCTAGATTATACCAAAGCCTTTTTCAAACTTTATTTGGCACATGCTACTATAAATATCATGACATTATAAAATTCATGAGTCTAACAACCTAGGTTTAAATACATAGTCTCAGTTTTCTTAAAACATTTTCTGTCATGTTGCTCAAAGATAACACACAGTCCAGAGTTATGTATAGTATTTTTTCCTTCTTACTAAAGAGGCAAGACAAGATATCAGAGGAATCCAAATTGGAAAATAGAGGTAAATTATCTTATTTTCAGATGACATAATAATTTACATAGAAAATGCAAAAGAATCCACTAAAAAACTAGTTGAAATGATAATAAAGTGGTAGGTTACAAAATGTGTATACAAAAATCAGTTGTGTTTCTCTATGTAAACAATGAACTAGAAAAGAAGGCAACCCTATGCACAATATCATCAAAAAGAATTAAAAACCTAAAAGTAATTTAACAAAGGACATCAAGGACCTTTGAAAATTAAAAGATATTGTAAAAAGAAATGGGAGAAGGTGAGCACAAAAATGGAAAGATATTTCCTGCAAATGGACTGGAAGAATTAACATTGTTAAAAAGGCCATCGTACCCAAGTTTCCAAGTTTCCAATAGCATTCTTAAAAGAAAAAGAACAAATATTTCATAATTTCCTGGCCTCCCCAGTGGCGCAGCAGTTGAGCGCTGTGTTGCGAAGCTGCCCACAGCCTCTGCAGTGCTGGTTCGATCCCCGGTCACCAGGCGAGGGTCCCACATGGCGTGCAGACCTCTCCTGCCACCCACTGCTCCCCTCAGCAGTGTGCTTTGTCACTTTGTCAATCTGCCTGTTCTGCTCTCCCCTCTGGCTCTGGTGAATTCTCTCACCCTCCTGCACTTCTGACTGTACCCAGTGCTTGTATAAATAAATAAATAAATCTTTAAAAAAAAAAAGAGAGAGACACATTTGCAAAAAAAAAAAAAAAAATTCCAGAATTTCATATGGAGCCACAAAATATACTGAATAGCCAAAGCAAGCTGACAGAAAAGAGGAAAAGTGATGGTATCACATGCTCAGACTTCAAACTATACTGCAAAGCTATGGTAATCAAAAAAGTATGGTACTAGAACAAAGGTATACAGAGCAATGGAATAGAATTGAGAGCACAGAAATAAACCTGCTTATCTATGGACAGCTACAACAAAGGAGCCAAGAATACAGTGGAAAAAGGAGAGCTGCTTTAATGAATGGTGCTGGGAAAACTAGAAAGCCACAAACAAAAGAAATTAGATCACCATCTTATACCATACACAAAAATTAACTTGAAATGGACTTATAGCATAGATGTAATATATTAAATCATAAAATACATTGAAGAAAACAGGCAAAATTCTCCATGACATAGGCTTCAATGATGTGTCTGTGCATTCATTTATGAAGGCAAGAGAAACAAACATGAATGTAAACAAATGGCACCACATTAAACTATGAAGCTTCTGCACAGTGATAGAAATTATCCATAAAATAAGAAGACATGCTAGGGCCTCCCTGGTGGCACAAGGGGCTATCCACAGTCACTGCAGCACTAGTTTGATCCCCAGCCAGAGAGCTACACACATAGCACAGCAGACCTCTCCTGACTCACTCGCTGCTCTCCTCAGCAGTATATTTCAGTCAGTCTGCCTGTTCTGCTCCCCACTCTTGTCTCTGGTGATCCTCTCACCCCCTACATCTCTGGCCTGTACCCCAGTTCTTGTGTGCATAATAAAATAAATCTTAAAAAAATAAAAAGACATGCTATGGAATGGGAGAAAATATTTGTACATCACCCATTTGACAAAGAGCTGAT